AGCGAAGGCTTGAAACAGCTGTTTGTCAAAGTCTTTAGGCACAGCACGTCCAGAACACTTGAGGGGATTGGTATGGATTGGTCATGCTTCTCAGAGCTTGTTGACATTGCTGATTGGCCCTGAGAGGCTTGCTACCATTGAGGAAGAAGGACCGCATTCCTTGACAATCCGGGAAGGTTTGACTTTGCTTGACCGGTTATGGCCTATCATACCCTATCATTCCATTAGGTGTTGATCAATTTGACTCTTGCAGTTGTTTCAGGACCCACTACAATTGCGGTGAGAGAGGAGCCGACGAGGGTGGCCACCTACGTTGAAGATGAAGGCCAAGTCACACAGCCGAGAGGCAAACCAAACTGTCGCGGTTTGGATCTGTAGGATCAAATGGTCCACAAAGCCATTAGCCATGATCGAGTTTGCTTGAATCCTAATTCACTAAAAAGTACAAGGGATGAACGCTAAAGGGGGTGAGGAAAAAGCAGGACAAGGTATAATATAATTGGTCTTGGTGGGACTTCCTGTTTACCCCATGAACTTTTTACTAGCCAAGGTTCCGCCTTTTTTTTTCCAACACCAAATGGTTAACTTACACAACGGTGTTGAGCTTTGACGACATTCAACTTCAGGTTTGGCCTCGGCCGGTTCGACACAGTTTGGGCAGAAAATGAATCAACGAGGAATTCAGCTTTGGATATCATTGAAACTCCATCATCCGATACAATGTAAAATATGTTGCCTTTTTTCTACGCCTCATTTTAGCTGTCGCGGGTACTGTAGACCCACACAATTTTTGCGCGCACTTGCGAGAGGTATGGACCATGGATTTTTCCAGGTGATATCCAGTGGGCATGGGTGATATGATCCAGCTGTCGTTGGTATCATGTGGTGTCCAAAGATGACTCTATTCCAGAGTAATGTCTCCAAAAAACAAAAGAAAACAAAACAAGAGGAAAAAACACTCCCATGAGATGCGGTTTCCAATCCGAGCGGCCGCATGAGCTCAGCTCTGTGTTGCTCAGATTTGTTCCTCGCGGGCATCAATCTTGAAGAAGACGAAGGCCCATTGAAAGACTGTGCATCGTGAATTTGTTCTGTCATATTTCAGCTTTTTTATGATTTCTTTGGCAGGTTTATGCCTGATTGCTTTATTACTGTATTTCTTTGGAAGGAAGCGAAGATTTTCTTCGAGAGTATCAGCGTGGTTCAGTTTTCTGCTGGAAAGCAATTAAACGTAGCCGACCTAAACATGTGAAGATTTTGCGATCTTTTTGATTTGTCCAATGGACTAAAGCAAGACCTTGAAATACTGTATGAACCAGATTGCGGCGTTTGGCGTTTCCAGGTGATCCTAATAATTATCAGGGTGTAAGAAATGCAGACCACATCCAATAGTGGTTGGAGGCCATCGCTAGTAGGTTGGAGGCCATCGCTTCTAGGATGGAGGCCATCGCTAGTAGTAGGTTGGAGTCCATTTCTGGCGTTCGACACCGGTTGCCCGCAGGTAGTGATCCGGAGGAGCTGCGATTTTCGCTGGAAGACGTTGGCGTCTCCTATGAGGACAGGGAATTCTCGTTGGTTGGCCGTCCTTGGGCCAATGTCGAACATTGAACATGGCCACGTGCGGCGCTCTTTTCCCCAGATAGCAAGAGCTTATTGGGCTTCTTACTTCAAGTATAGGAAGAGGTGCCTGTGTGTGGAGCCTGGGTGCTGGTGCCGCTGCAGGGCGCTGAGAAAACAAATATCTATATGATGTATATACTGTATAGTTCTATTTGACATCATTATATGCTGATGTATTTTGGTGGTATTTTTCCACACCTTCCAGAAGCATGATAGCCCCTGATCAGACCACATTCGTCTATCTTCGGTCATTCTATGTGGAGCCGGACGAGGGCGCCGCGTGTCTTCACCCGAGCGGATGCCGAGCGGAGGTGAGCTCAGAGGTCAGCTTCAGTGGATCCGGGTCCTCGCAAACCGAGTCGGAGGCGGTGATCGATCGGCGGCTTTGGTCGGATGCGGATTCAATCGGTTTTTTTGCTTTGGTCGGATGATTGTTTGTATTTACTGTAGCATTATTCAGTAGTTATATAGTATATTGTTCGACATCCGAATCGCAGAATCACGAGCTTCATCGGATCACATGTGACCTTGTTGCCTGGAGGGAACATCCTCAAACTCCATGAGTGGAAAATCCATCCTTTCCCTTTCATAGGTGGTTCCTGTTGCATTACGTTCAGCAAGCGGGCTACCGGCTTGCTTTGTGCCAGGAGGAGGAGGATTGCTTCAAGTTGTGAGTAACGGCCTGAGCGTTGAGCTGTTCATGTCGTTTTCTTGGTCATTTTGTGGCCTATGTGAAAACACGGACTCCTTGACTTTTTGCATCACTGCGAATCACATGCGTTGTGGCAGCTGTTTTGTGTTGCGAGGTTGAAAGGAGTGGATCGAGGCTCTGCCAGGTTCTGCCAGGTGTGCTTAGAGCGGCTGGCGGCTGGAAAACGGGAACAGATGTCATGACATCATCGATCTTGAGTTCCGCTGAAGTTTTGTCGAGTGTTATCAGCCATGTCAAGAGATTTGACCGCCCGTGTTAACCAGTTGCAGTGGAATCGGAGACACATTGTGTTGTTCAATATAGGCCCGTATAGGCTCAACAGGTGATCGAGGCAATCAGAAGTGGACTGTGGGTACAGTAGCCGGTGGTAGCGATAGATGCGGTTGAGTTAGGGCCAAGTTGCTATCCTCTTTGAACAGCACAAAGTCACCAGCCTCTCCAGAGATCTTGTACAAATTCAAGCGAAAATCATCTCGTTGATTGCCTGACCAAGCTGTTTCGCTGGCCTGAAAGTGGGCTGGCACCAAGTAGCATAATGTGTGACAAAAAGATGAAGTCAGCTTTTGCTCAGCATGCTTTTTGCATTGTTAGATTGAAGACAGCAACTTGTTTGAGTATTTGTAGAATTTGTAGACTACTCGCACAAAATGCCTTCACAAGACTCTTGTTGGTCTAAGGCTCCGAGTTTGGTCTTGGTGAGTTCAAGATGTTTGCAATGATGTATGGTGTTTTGGCTATCCACAAGTTGCGAGTGAAGTTTCACAACTTTGGGCATCTTGCAGCACGTTATACATTGAAGAGTTTGTTGAAAGCAACTGGGGCCGGGTCTTAGGAGGTCGAGTTGCAGTTACTCAAGAATTTGCAGTTCAACTAGGCCATGCCAGTGAAATCTTTAGACAAATCGTCCTTATTTTCTGGCAAGCCTCCGGAAGGGCACCAAGTCAGCATGGAGTCGCGGCAGCGATGCTTGTTTCCAGCACTGGAATCTAAAAGTTCAAATGCCGCGACCTCAGTGGGTGCCACCAAAATGTTCGGACATAGACAGCTGGAATTTCGGATTCTTCCGGTTCTCGGATTTAGTTTGGAACGGATTCATTGTGATTCATTGGGAAATTGAGGAGGGGTGGATCACGTTGCTGAAATTGAATGTCTCTTGCACAGGCCATCAGAGATGTGAGCTAACAAGCAAAGGCTGTCCATCAAGTAGCTTAAGTTTCCCTAAAAATCTAGAAACCAAATCATTAGTCCGAGCGCTTCTTCAAGGAAGCTTCCCCCGCCCGCCCTTACGGCGGCGGGGGGAGCTTCCTTGAAGAAGCGTGAGCTATCCTGCGTCCATACTGGTATCTTACTTGTAGGATCCCCCACGCTTGTACCACTATAAAATGTAGATGCCTTGGCCCTATAAAATGATGAAACCGACCCTCATTTTATAAAGATCATTGGGGCAGCTCAGAGGAAAAAAAAGAGAAACGTTTGGTTCCAGGAAATGACGTCATTTTATAGAGGAGGTATGGTGTTTAGCAAACGGAAAACGGTGTTGGAATTTGCCGGGATTGTTGCGCTCGTTTTTGAGATTCCTTGATCATCAACCAGAGGTTGATTTTTCATTTTATAAACCTTGTGTTTTTTCCTTGAGACATCATCCGAGAGTTGATGTTTAATTTTATAAATAGCTAGTTTTCTTCAAGTCATTTTATAAGGAATCCATGTCTCTTGCCAATTGGGCCAATTTACACTTTTGCTGTCGTGCTCCTACATATTGTAAAAAGGTTGGTTTTGTCATTTTATAGTCATTGTAGTGGCGTTTGTCATTCTATAAAGCAAATTTACTATAAAATGTAAAATGGCAGCCCATTGGGAGTAGTAAGGGGGCTCTTGTAGGTACTAGCTACCTCTCCCTACTAGCTACCTCTTCTACTAACTACCTCTAGCTACTACCTACCTCTGGCACCCACTCCCATTAACTTAACAGTTTGAAGTTGGAAAACAGGGTGCCCGAACTTGGCGCTGGTTGTGAGGCCAGCCGCTCCAAGTTGAGCAAATCAGAGCCTTCCTTAAGGCCACTAAGGGGCCGGCGGAGCGCTTGGTGCGGTCCGTTAAGGGATGCTGAAGTTTGGAGGGTGAGCCAGCGTCAGCTGACGCGGTCATTTTGGGTGACCAAAAGCACGGCGTGTGACGGTCCAACGCCCACTTTAGTTATGCTCATTGAGGGCACGAGATGCCAAAGCATTGTAAGAACTCTTGCTGGTATTGCTGATTGACAATTCCATTGGTTCAATTTCAATGTCCTTTTCCTTAAAAGACAGTGCAGGCACTACGGTGGAATCCAGCATGTCACAACGGTGGTTGTCTCCGCATCGGTTCACATCGAATGCGTGGCTGTTGCACGATGTTCCTTGCCGATCAGTTCCCTTTTGTGTACAGCAGTTGGTGTGACGAGTGAAAAACAAGGCAACTTACTAGAGAATTTGAGAGACTTATAATGTTTGCACGACATCGTGCCAGGTTTGGAAGAGTTTGGATATCGAGGATAGAACAGTGGCATATTTGAAGCATTTTGGGAAACTGTCACATGTTCTGAACAAAAGAGCAAAGATGATCAACATGAGCAGAGCAAACCGACCTCCCGTCAATCAGACTCGTCTGTGAAGCAACGGTTTGGCACGGATTGGTGCATCCCCCGTTCCACCGGGTCACCGGGCTGTGCTGCAACCCACGGGGAGCCTGTCGGGTCGTGTCCGGTGAAGCGTAGAACGCACCGGGCCAAAGCGCACGGCTCAAGGCGACCGCTCAATGGCTGGATTTGGATGGTTGAAGCCAGTGGTTTCCAAGCTTCCAAGCTAGTTGGCTTGTTTCTGTTGTGCCCAAGAACTGCTTGAAAAAGACACAGAACTCAGACCTGCAAGCCGAATGTTCCATGGCGGATGCTGATCCGTTTTCCGGCTGGACCGTTGGGGAGTCCCAACCGACCCGCGCAGCGCTGGACCCGCGTCGTGCAGGATCTGACGTGAGGATCGACGTGGGGTTTCTGCTGTCATCCCCCGATGGGGAGGTGTTTTGCAGCTTTAGAAAGCAGCTTTAGATCAGAGGCGATGGGCCCTGAAAGGTTTGGGTCAGTGGAGCCCAGTTCGTGTGATGACGAGAGCAGCGGACATTTGAAGTTCCAGGTACAAGGTGAACATAGGTGAACTGTTCCTGTCACAAAGCAATTGAGTTGGATTTTGGGACCTCTCGCTCTCGTCCACACTCGTCCACTCAGGCCGTGGGGTTGAACCGCATGCAGCCATGTGCAGTCCTCACAAGGAGTCATAGTAGCGATGACCTCCACCCTAGTAGCGATGACCTCCACCTCAGTAGCGATGGACTCCACCCTAGTAGCGATGAGTCCTCACAAGGAGTCACACTTGCAGCTCTTGGCTCAAAATTGTGCTCGAGCTGGCACCGGCTTTCAGGGCATTGATGTCATTGTAGCAGCATGGCGATGTGTTTAGTTCAAGAGTTCCCAGTGCATCCAGGCAAGGTATGTTTGTTCGGGTATGATGATGATTTTGACATCCGGTCCATGCATATTCCATGGCACTCCGGTCTTTAGTTCATGACCTCTGGACTTTGGCCAGGCTCTTGAAGTGTTTGCTGTCGTATCCTATCCGGAGTCAGGTTACGAGAAGCATCCGGAAGCCATAGAGCTCTTTAGGGTTAAGGATGGCAGGCATCCTGCTACACCTGTTATCCTGCAGCCGACTTTACATGATGGAGACTTCTTTCAAGGGACTTAGTGCCCCAGGTGAGTTCCCCGGCCAATCATCCCCCTTCAAACGCCTCCCAAATCCTGCTCAGCAACTTCTTTTCTTGGTTTTTGCTTCATCCATTGCTCTTGACGGGCAACCTGGCTGTTGCAGAACCAACAGCTTCCACGAGCAATCGCTCTAGATACGGAAAAGTGTATGGGCGTGTGGCTCTTGGCATTAATTTGCTACGCACGGTCCCCCAGCTCCATCGTGTGAATGCTTCAGCTCTTCATTGCGACCCCATGTTTAAAGTGTTCCTTTTCTGATCTCCCTCCTTTCTCTCTTTTCTTCTAGATCGTCGAGCTGACAAGAGCGGTTTTTCTCCGTGGCTGCTGCAAGTCTGAGGCTGCTTGTGGGAAAGCACATGCCATTTCCATCCATTTCCACCACTTGGAGCCTGCCACTCCTCCAGGAACGTCCGAGGTGGCGTCAGAGACACAGAGCTGCGATGGAAGGGGGCCTTTCGGAGCGCAATTTGCGGAAGATGACGCTGTTTTCCCTTCATCCTTAGATGACGCTGTTTTCGGTGCGTCCCTTTGGCGCATTTCGTGCGGCCATGACCGGGATGAAGCAGTACTCGTGGCTGTTCGCTCTAAGAACTGGGTGCTGCGACCCCGTGGAGGTACACCGCTCGTTCTTCAGCAGGGGGCATTGTTCTTCACGCAGTTCTGTGCGTTCCGGTTGATCCATGCGTGCCATGTCGGTCCCTGTTTTCAGGAGCAACATGTCGGTCCCTTGGGCGGCCTTTTCGTATGGATGAGACGAACGAAGCCACTTCGGCCGTTCCGAGCCGTTCCGAGGCGACGTGCGGCGACTTCGACCAGGGAGCAATTTCAAAAGATCGAGGAGATGCTTTGCTTTGACAGGGAGGAGATGAGAGGAGATGTGGATAACGACTTCCGTGACTCTGTATGACCCCCCCATCTCTCACAGTCCAGCGCTGTTAAAGTGTATAGACTAGGGCAGGGCAGTGTCTGAAGTGACATGCTTCTCCCTGTAGTCAATGCGTCCATTTTGGCCTGCGCCAAAACCCACACGGGCTGAGAAGTAGAAGATAAGCCAAGGTTTTTGACTGATTTTTGTGATTGTTGCTTTTGTTCAATGATTTGGGTGCGTGAAGGTGTCATCAAGAGGCTGAATGGAGTCCAATGGATGCATCTATCGAATGAGCGACAGGAGAGCTAGGTTCTATTAGGTTCTCATCTAGTCTACTTCTCTTTAACTATCCAAGGAGTCTTCACCAATGTGAGCGAGTAGCGCTTTACCAGCCCTGCTAGACGGTGCTGATGTTCACGCCGATTTCGTTTGAGACCTGTCTGGTCCAAGCTCTTCATCCTCGGGCATACCGGTATACCTATCCTGGTCCCCAAGCACGGGTAAGGTCATTTTGTCAGGCAATAGGAAACTTGCAAGAAAACGCGCTTCTCGCGGTTGACCAGAGCATGCAGTTCTTGCACGCACCTCAGCCTTCCCAAATGTGTTTGCAAACATGCCGAGCGAGCAAACTAGACTAAGTAAGATCCAGGGTTGTCTGCTCCTGGGTGTCCATGCTTCCTGATGCTTCCTGTGTATCAGTTCCACGCAAGAAAACACCCCCTCTGGCCTTGATGAAGGCTTCCGCGAATGTCGCAACGGCTCGTCTCCCAGTATATTGAAGCCTAAGAACATTGCACCGCACCTCTACAGACCTTATTACCTCTACCACAAAAGGAACGCCTCCGGAACGGACAAATACCCGGAACTCATAGACTTTGTGGGACAGAAACCTCGGACCATCTCAGACCTCAGACCATCTCAGACCTCATAACACACCTTAGAACCATCGAGACCTTTCAGTTTTTCATTGGACTTATGACTAGTAGAAACAAGTGCCACGCTACTAGTAACAAGATGTAACAAGTGCCTTACTAGAATTCCAGCAGAACCAATTTATCAGAGAGGTCTCGATGTCGATTGCCATGTAGACATCATGTAGACCGAACTGATCTGCTGCCCTTCCCGAACTGGCCACCTGACTTTGGAAGGCTTGCAGGGTTTTTTAGATACACTTACTTTGGAAGGCTTGTTTTGTCTACCTGGAGCTCCCCCACAAGCTCAAGCCAAACATGTTTGGAGGATCTCCAGCATGGCTACCGGACATCTCAATGGAACTTGGAACTATGGTGTCTCACCGACATGATGCTGGCCCAGTCTTGGTCTCCAATTGGACTTTCTCCTTGGACCACGGCTTTGATCAACATCCACCGTGTTAACTCAGATCTCAAAATCCCAGACCTCACTTGGGAGCTGCCCCGCACCGGAGCTCGCTTCCGGTCGCTTTCCGGTCGCTTTCCGGTCCACAGCTCAGGTGACCGAGCGATCGAGGACGGAGTGCAGAAGCAATGGCAGGGTCAAAGCTCCTTCCAGTTTAGAATCAGTTGCACACTGGACAGACCACGTATACTAGGATACATCATGATACATCCATTGCAACAACTTAAGATAGTTCTACTGTGTTCACACGGTTGGGGGACACAACTTGAGTCATTGGGTGCAACAATCTCTATGCAATCGGGGTTAACCCCTCTATGAATATGACTGAACAACATGTTTTATGGACATGTCAGCGAGGCGGATCAATCTCAGTTCATAGAGATTTGAGGGTTGTATTGGTGTCGAAACTAAAAGCTGAATTTGGAAGAAATAACTCCCAAACCAAACCTCGGTGTCCAAACATGACTTTGGAAGAAGCTGAAATTGGATATCGTTTTGATAGTGGCATCAGTGAACGCACATTATACATTGAGGTTGTTGATTTTCAACTATGGAGGTAATTTTGTTTGGCCCGCCTTCACTAGCTCTATGTAGTCTATAGAATGGGGCTAGAGACTCTCAATGGTCAAGCTTTGTTCTTGGCGGAAGATGTCAGTTGTCCATTGTTTTCAAAGATTCCTCAAGCGGTTTCCACAACATGCATCGCAACACAAGACCAAGGATCCGACCTGCTTCATCAGCACTATTGTTGTTGTTGTTGTTCTTTTTTTTTTTTTTCAGGCGTTGCTTTTTCAGAAGGTTTCAAACCCAAGAAGCAACGCCCATTTGCAAGTGGTTGATCATGTGAGATAAACCCCAATTTCAACCGGATTTCCATATGCTTGATGTGTGTTGAGACGAAGCCAAGCCATGCTAAAGCTTTCTGTTTGTAGATTCCAGCAACTCCGGTTTCGCCCATGGTGGCCCCTCCTGAAACCTTCAAAACCATTGTTACTAGTAGCGATGGCCTCCAACCTAATAGCTTCTTGCTAGTAGTCATGGCCTCCATCCTAGTAGCGATGGCCTCCACCTAGTAGCATCCTTGTTAGGAAGAAAATCGACCTCGAGGAGTTCTTTTCAGGGTGGTTTGAGCCGGTCGCCAGGATCTCAAAAGTCCATTCCAAGTCCAAAGCTGAGAGCCGGTCGCTGTGCACTGGTTGAGACCCTCGTACAGACCCAAGTTCTCCAGGGGGTGAAAGGTGCATTCTCAGCAGAACTCGATCTTCTCGAAAATTGCAAAACACCGCCAAACGCATGCACATGTAATTCCCCTTTAATAAGCGTGCATCGTGCTGCAACTTCGACCAGTATGCAATTCCTCGTAACTTAATAAGTCTCAATACGTGACGAGGGATGCAAACCTCTTGTTCCTGGAAGTTGTTACTACTCCAAACCAATAGAGTTTAGGGATCGTACCTACACTTCCTACTTGATTGATGACTGTTGAGTCCCGATTTTGGGCGGCTCCTGCAAGTGCGCCGCAATGTCTTTGTTGGCCTCTGTGATAACAGCACAGAGCGTAAAGCTCGAATATTTTAACTTTTGCTTTGGGCGTTCAGTGAAAGCTGGGCAACGCTCAGCTCAAATCAGAGTAGCGTGCCAAATGAAAACCTACACTTCCTCAAGCAGTGCCAGCTGGTTTCAGCAGATTCCAATGCTTCCCATCGCCCAGATCGGTGCTACGGCGAGCGGGTGCAAATGTGGCGGGGCAGCTCAAGTGAGCGGAAGGGCGCCAAAGCTTCGAGAGTGGACTTTGGAGTTTTAAAAAATACATTATGTTGAAATTCACCTCATCCCCATGGACCCCGTAGCGTGTACTCTCAAGGTAGAGTGAAAAGGGCGCTTAGCGGTACTACAGGGTTAGCTAGGTTAGCTAGTGGAATCTGAGCTGATCCTGTAAAATACAGGTTATCAGCCCTAGGCTAACTAGAGTAGAGCTATGGACCCGATGGACGATGACGTTGTGCCGAACGCCTACGGAAGTGGTTTTGACATTGTTCCAAGTTTACCCAGTGGTGTGGATGCAATTCAGAGACATGAACAGGCAATTGCTCAGGTGGCAGCAATGGACCCACGGGTAGCTTCGGAGGTATACCAACAAGTGCTAGACAGTGGTGGCAGTGTTTCCCTTCAGGAAGCTACTCAAGCTACCCTAGCCGGTATGCCGTCAGCCACCGTAATGGGTGTGCCAACTGTGAACAACACGTTGGCAATGACACGGTTCAACGTCGTCAATGTTCACACAGCCTCAGTTGATGAAGCTCTACGACGTGAGTTACACCAACACGAGTTTCAACTCAGTGAGCAAGCCAGGCGCGAAGCGGAACTCGAAGCGTTGCGTTTTAGGCTATACGAACGAGAAGCTTCCGTATCCATCGCGGCAACAAAAGTTGCTGCAGAGTTGGCCGTACAGAATGTTCAGCAATTGGCTCAACAGAATGACAATGTTGCAATAAGGAGGTTGCAAGCAACTTTGGAAGAGCAGCGTGAACACTTTCAACAGCGGTTGGCTCAGGCAACAATGGCTCACGACAAAGCAGTACGAGAAAGGGATGCCTTAGCAACAAACTGCTCGGAAGGCAATATGTATTTGGAGAAATTGAAGTCAGAACATCGGCAATATGTTGAACAAAATGAGACTAGATTCAAAGCAGCGGCAGAGGCAACAGAACAAGCAAGATGTACAGCAGCCGAAGACGCCAGCAAAGTTATTGATCTAGAGTTCAAGCGCGATGAACTGACAAGCTCCTTGGCAATAGCACAGGCCAAAGTTAGGACGCTCTCAAGCGAAATTGAAGCAGTCAAGAAGCAGAGCAGTTTTGACAAGGAACTTCAGAAACAAACAATAGTTGAACTCAGAAGGGACAACGCAATGTTGAAAGGTGAGATGGATGAGCTCAGACAAATGGTGCAAGCGTTATCCAATGCGAACAAGGAGGCAGAACGCAAGGCGCAAACTGAAAGCCCCGCGAAACCAGGGCCGCTTCATCCTGAACCACCACTACCTGAGGAGAAGCCTGAATCTTTCCCTGTCGGTCAACCTCTCTCTCTTGGACCTCTACGAACTGAAGGCTCAGTCCCAGCAACCGTAGATGGTTCGCCCCCAGATCTTGGCGGAATTCCTGTGAAAACTGCAATGGGTGCAAATGCAAGCAAACGCAATACAGGATTCCCTTCAATGTTTTCTGGAACAGGGGCGGCTGCAGCAGAGAAACCTTCAGCTTCAACAGAAAAGAGAAAGTTAGATACACCAGATCCTTGGGCAGAGTACAGGAAGAAGTCGGAAAAGGAAAAGGACAGGGCAAGTCCCGAAACAGGACTCGTGAAGGTCCGTATGAGTCAAGGCCGTGGCACTATGACCATATGCCGCCTCCTCCGTTGCCGCCAAGTTCGTCTTCATCATCCCACACTCCCGTAGTTGGGCAGTCGCACGAATGGCGACCTACACCTAAGCAATATCAAGCTTCAGACTCAAGGCCATTGGAGCCTTTTGATTTTCCTGGTGTACAATGGCAACGGGATGATGAATGGGCCGACAAATACTGGCCCAGTCACATGGAGCTTTGGGCATGGATGCGAAATGGCTGGCGGGATTACACAGCAAGGATTGGATACACACACTTTGATTGATACAAAGTTTGGACAGCTACCAGAACTGGTAAGCACTACAGCCTACCAGTGAGATGACGTTTCACCACATCGTCTCACGTAGGATAGCATCCTTAATCGGATTGCTTTAGGCGGAGAGTGAACTTTTAATCAATGCTCTAGCTCTAGAACTGGGATCAGCATGTGTAACAACATGCCAAGTGAACCGGTAGGTTGTAGCTACGTTGTCCTTGTACAGTGCATGCACGAGCTTGACGAGGGATTTCTAATATGATTCCTTCGTCGCTAGAATTTGTTCCTCCCAGAGATTTTCCCTACGGGTAGCTCCTAGTAAAGGGGGGTGTTGAAATTCACCTCATCCCCATGGACCCCGTAGCGTGTACACTCAAGGTAGAGTGAGAAGGGCGCTTGGCGGTACTACAGGGTTAGCTAGGTTAGCTAGTGGAATCTGAGCTGATCCTGTAAAATACACATTACTGGTAGCGATGCACCTGTTACTTGTACTAGTAGCGTCCTTGTTCCTAGTAGTAAGGCCAGGAGCCACTAGTAGCGTCTTTGCTCGAGAGGATGTCTTTCAGTGGTGTCTTTATGTGGCGAATGTTGGTTGTTGGGACGACTATTAGGTCAGAGCGGCCTTTTGTTGGTTGTTCTTTCAATTGGTTGTTGGGATGGCTTGTTGATTCCATGGTGCTTTTTCAGGGCGCAACAGGGAGGAGGAAAACCCACTTTCAGTCATCAGACCATCACACAGCCGTTCCCACGAGAGAAACCAAGACACAGTTTGGGTGGGGCTGTACTTTTGCAAACGTTTTCTATGAGTATTTGTTGGATCAATCTAGTCACTATATGTGTTTTACCATATATATACATATTTATTTGATTGTTTTATTTTTTCACTACAGATCTTGTGATGGCTGGGTAGACAAATCCATTTCCCCAACCTTCCAGACGTTGCTTGGGAGGTGTCCCTATTTTGATGCGCAATTTGAAGACAAGTCCTAGATAATTCTCTTGTATTCTCTTCCTGTCAGGATAGCCCTAGCGGTAGCGTTCGAACGTGGGCTGAAGAGTGCAACAGCAGGACTTGGAAGAAATGTGCGCACCGGTTTGCACTAGTCCGGTTTGCACTAGTGCTGCGACCGTGCAAACCAACATCAGACAAACTCTACGACGAAGAGGAACATTCTCATTCAAACGAAGGTTTTCAGAGATTGCCAAACACTCGGGTATCCATGGGCATGCTTTGAGATGTTCAAGCCAAGTCGTGTAGGGATACTCATGGATGTCAGCTTCTTATCAAATCAGTCCCATTTGGATCGTGGATAGTCGCATGGCCCAGGCTGGACCCGTCCGGTCGGATGGAGGCGGCCGGACCCGGCCCGGCACTTGTTGGATCGATGGCGAGCCGGATCAAATGCCGCGAGGGTCGTGTTTCAGATGATGTTTCATGACACTTCAAGATATGAGTGCAGGTCAAAAAGGTTCATCAACCCATCATTTGGGTTGGTGGTTTCAGATATTTAGTGATATAATATATATATATATGTATTTGTTTTTGTTCAACCGTTACTTATGATTAAAATGTGAGTTGAAACCACCAACCACTCAACCTCAGCATTTGTCTCGATGACATGTCTTGCGAGTCCTGACCTCCCGCCCCGGCCGAGTTCCGCCGCAGGCGACGAACACCCCCAGCCGAGCCCGCCAGGGCGGCGGCCGCAGGGCGGCCAAGTCGGTGCGACAGTCAAAGCCAAAGAAGACCTAGTAGCGTCCTCGCTCCTAGTAGCGATGCCAGGAGCCCCTAGTAGCGTCCTTGCTCCTAGTAGCGATGTGAGAAGTCCCAAATACAAAAAGTGATCTGTGATATATGCAGTTGAAAAGGATGCCAATGCTAGAGCCTCATGGTCGTTCTCACCTTGTTGGTGTTCGGTTGCGGTTTCAGCGCTCTCCACCGAGAGCCACTCCGGGTGATCCCCACGACGGAGCTGTCGATTCCCTAGGCCATCGGATGGTGGCTACGCAGCGTTCAAGGTCACTCGAGCTCCAAACGTGTGATGTTTCGCCATGGAGGAATGAAGAGGAAGGTGAGTGCTTTGGAACTTCGTGAGTGCTGGAGGGAACTTCAGGTTTTAAGCACAACAAGGGAGCAAGTGATGATGGTCGAAGAATTGACTCATGCATCCATTTGCTCCTGAAAGGAGAGTTGACTGAATCTCTTTGAAGAATCCGCAAGAAACCTTGTTTTTGGATACGCCTGGTGGGCCTAGCCCGCAGGCTCGATTTGACAGAGAATATCAACAGCAAGAACGAGCTCAGAGTTGCTTAGCTGAATGGACAGTGAGATTCTTGATTCAAGATTCACAGGCATCAGCTTGTAAATTAGATGAGTCTTCAAGTAAGGGTCAACTTCGGCTCAGCATGTGAAAAGTGAAAAGGGAAAGTGTGAACCTGGCGGATTAGTATCAATATGACAATATGTATTAATATCAATTAATTAAATTCCACCAATCATATTTCAGGTATACTGCTCCTGGTTAGCCTAGAGGCAAGCTTGTGCACTCCCTCATGCCACTTTTTGCAGAACCATACAGTGACACCAGACACCACCCCGAAGAACCATGCTCGCTCGGCCCTTTATGGAAGACTTGCGCGGAAGTTAACCAGAGTGCTGCGAGATGGATTGAGACCAGCACTTTGTTTGTTTGATAGTCACATCAACCTAAGCTCACCTAGTGGGTACTTTGCAAGGACATCAGCAGGAGGTTAGAGGGAGACATGAATGAGAAGATGTTGAGATTCTACGGGTCCTGTGTCTCGTGCTGCGTCTCCAGATGTCCACAGCATCTTTGTACATTTGGTGGAAGACTTCTGAAGATCAACTCTTGCTGGGCATCCTATTTCATCGCCAATGGAAGACAGCTCGGGCATCCTGTTCAGACCCAGGTTTCTGAAAACTCTCTGGTGGTTTGGTCTAGGCCACAGCTTTGGTCTAGGCGCTTTGCCATCCTATGGCTATGCCACGCCTCGGCCTGGATTGGTGTATGTTTCAGCGGACGGCCAGCCTGCATTGGGCGATCTGTGTGGGTTTCCATGGCTAAGGCATGGCCATTTGCCGTCGACAGCGGCAGGTCTTGGAGGCTCTACAGGTCGGAGATCCCAATGAGACGGAGCGTTTGGGTCCGGTCGAGTCTCGTCCTTTGACTATGGTTTGACCTTAAAAACATCGGAGCCGACACGGGCTTGCAGCTGGTTCTGATGGTTCTTTCAGGTTTCATGTCCAGGATGGGCCTGAGAAGTCCTGTTTCTTGCTTGTCGTGTTGCGGCCAGGATGATAGGAAAGGGTTGGACAAGTTCCGTTTCTAGGAGCGAGAACGCTACAAAGGGCATCGCTACTAGGAGCAAGGACGCTATTAGGGGCTCCTGGCATCGCTACTAGGAGCAAATAGCTGCTAGGAGCAACTGGCCACCAACCAAGGTGCCGGTCGTGTTTCTTCATCCTGCCAAAATTGACCTATTCCAGCCACAGTCCATGAGTTCTTTCTGATTCGTCACAAAGGTAGTGGCTGGCAGTAGGCTGGCAGGCCAGAACAGTCACAAGCTAGTCACAAAGCTATGTTGTTTCTTTTGTTGGGCGGATGAAAACCCCGGATGGACACTTTGGATCACTTTGGTTGACGAACCAAGAACTTTGCGAACACACTTAATCCACAGTGAAGCTTCAACATTTTTCCCAAGTCACCTTCGGAATTTTCCCAAGACATGCGGGTCGCACTGGGCCAGGATGACCGGCCGACTTGGGAGCCCCGGCTGGCACGGGCAGCCAAGGCAGAAGCAGAGGCCGAGTCGGGCCGTGTGGTGATTGGAAATCAATGAGAGTCGACTCTCCAGGGATCTCCAGGGTGCATCAGACATCAGACTCTCCACGGTGCCAAAATGATGGAGTCCGTGGGAGAATCATAGTTTCACACAATGAAGACGAACGGAGAGGGAAAGGTAACAGCATGTTCTGTGGCGGCTGCATGGCAGTTTCTGCTGCCATGAATATGGGCGAAGGTTTGGGCAAGTGTCGAGAAGGTTTGGGAGCAGAGCAGGCATAGAGGGAGAAGTAGTGGAACGAAGACACCACAACCACAGTACCAGGCAGTTTGATCAACTGAACATGGCATGAAGGAATGATAGCAAACGCAAACGAGAGGGCAGTCGGAAGAGAGGGCAGGAACTCGTGGGGTCGGGGATCATAATCAGCTTGGGGAGTTCCGAAAGAATTCTGTTTGACACTGGTTTATGGTCGCCCTCTTTTTGAGGGTCGTTGCTGGAAACCAGCAACCCAATGCCTAGGAGTTCTTTCGACTGATGCGTACAGCATCGGAGCAGCAAGCCAGTGCGCAGCCCAGTGATAGCCCAGAGATTCTGAAAGATCTGACTAAATCGCGGAAATGCTCAATTAATGGTGAGATGGCCAGGTGCTCCCTACCAACATTATTTTGCATACTGATATCATTTGATATCCATCTTATATTGCGGCAGTTGTTGCAATTTGGGAGGACACTTGAGAGGACATGTGACATCCCCCTAGTGGATTCGACTGCTAGGCACAAAGAACAAAAAATGCACAGTGCACATTATCTCAGTTTCAGGAATTTTCTTACACCAACGCTCAGGTTGTGCTAGTTTGATGGCCCGAAAGCCACGACCAACAGAGCCCTGCGAGGAACCACAGGACAGAAACTGAAGCGCCGTGAGCGTTTGTCGCAGCACACTCCACTACGTGTTTTCACAGCGTTTTTTTACCCACGACAGGACAGACATATTACAACCTTTTTGTTGTCGGAGGATGGTCGTTTGTCAAGTCGTAAGATGCAGAGCCTTTGACAAGGCACTCAGCGTAACAGAAAGAAAGAACAAAAGAAAGACATAAGATGAACATTCATGAAATCAAAAAAAAATAACTTGTCGTTTGTCTCACAAGTGTTGTTGCTTTGCGGTCAGCGAAACCGCTGATTCTTGAGGTCTGATGTTTCATATCACAGCGAGTTTATACAGGAGGAGCTACCCGTGGTCCCTCGCTCTTGGGCTGAGCGACTTGGAGACTGATTGGACACCTGCCGAACAGTTCCGTCATGTTTGGTTGGATCTGGCCACATCGCCATGAAACCGAATGGATCGAACATGGCCTCTCCTTTTGAGACATACAAGATCCACAAAAAAGGACATACTGTATGTGCACGTCTCCTTCACTTCTGTTTTTCCACCTCTTCCTTCGATTTCGCTCGGCCCAACTGATCATCGGTTGAATCGCTCGGAAGTTTCCCTCTCAACGGGCCCTATTAAAGACTGACCTTTCTTCCTTTTCTTTCGTTTCTAACAGCGATGGCCTCCAACCTACTAGCGATGGCCTCTAACCATCTCTAACCTAGTAGCGATGGCCTCCACCACATCTCCAGGCAACAGGCCCGAGCATGTGCTTTGGCTGAGCCACGGCGCCGCGCCTCCGCACCGGCGGACACTGGGAGGCGGCGTACCAGCGTACCTTCGCTTCGTCCATGCGTGGACCGGTGAGTTGAAGAGTGGAACTGGTGTTGATTTCAATGTGTGACACATCTTGGTGAGACCTAGTGTGGTATCAGCGACCGAAGAGGTCCTTGAGACCTTTGTGAGACCTTGTCATCACAGCTGTCCATTCACGTGACCTGTACAGATGTTTCATGAAACATCATGAAGCGAAGAGGAGTGAGAATAACCACAAATCAACTGTGAACCCATAAGTGACCAGTCATCTGACCTGTCATTGGACCCCTGCACAAGCGTACCATCCGGGTCCATATCCGTCCATTCCAGCTCGCTTCAGCCGCAGGTCCACACCGCCCCGGAACAGCTCGCAGCGCCGAATGCTCGCAGCGGAGCAGCAGCGGCGCGTGGCGGCGTTGGCGCAGCCGCGGATGCCGAAGAGCGATTGGATGGAGGATTTGTGGCCACGAGGCGCCAAGGGTTTCACTCAACGGGCCCTAGACCTTTCTATACCTTTTTGATCATTTCTTCATATGTCTTCCTTTTCTTTCGTTTCTCACAGCGATGGCCTCCAACCTACTAGCCAGGAATTTTGGTCTTGGCGTCGAGTAGGATTTGCCACGCGCCCTCTGCAAGTCCTTTCTCCAGGTATTCCGGTTCAGGCGAGATTTGACAATAGGGTTGGCACATGTACGATGTTTAAAGCAATGTATTCGAGCCAAAAAGATATGTTGACCGTGTTCACCGGACTTTCAGATCTTCTTTGCACGCCTTTACTCCAACAAAGTGGTTTTGAGAGACGTCGACAAACTCGTTGGTGACGAGTCTGATCGAAGCCATGCCAAAGAATCGCCGGCTTCGTGTGGTGCCATATCTTCTCCTATTCTTTGGAGGCCTCTCTTTCCTCCAGACGAAGTGCCAGCGCAGGACTTTGCTCATCCGCAGGGCGGAGGAGGACGAGAAAGCTGTTTTCCCAGAACTCCTCAGCCTGTTGGAGAAGGCCGGTTTAAGCTCTTATAGCTCTGAAGTCTTGCAGTGGTGTGAGGATCAGGGTGCCAGTTCCAGTGAAGAGGTCCTGGAAAATCTCGAGGACTTGGCTTTGGACCTTGAAATTTCTGATGAGAAACTGGAGAAGCTCAAGCTCACCCACACCATGCAGCAGCAGCTTCATGAGGTTTGTGCCGCAGGGGATCACCTGCGCTTGGCCCAGATCTTACCCAGCTGCGACCTCGCTTCCAAAGACCCGCAAAACCGCTCCGCCCTCCATTTGGCTGCAGCTGGGGGACATGTGGAAGTGTGCCGGCTCTTGCTGGAGTCTCGGCCAGAGATGGTCACTGCCAGAGACCCCGAGGGCCGCATGCCTTTACACTTGGCAGCCTTCAACGGCTTTACCGAGCTGGTGGAGACTTGGTGGAAGCCATAGGCGTTTCTGGCCCGAATCAGTCCTCGAGGTTCAGTCATATGATCGAAGTTTTATCTATGTTTGATGAATTATGTAATTAATTAATGTAATTATCTAAAATACATCATTATACATTTGTGACATTTGTGTGTTTTATTCCTCGAGTGCTTCGACGTGGGAATAACACACATGGTCTCCACCAGGAACTCCTCATGGATCACGGTGCAGTGCCGGATGCAACTGAACGTGGCCAATCCTCCTCAGCACTACATGGTGCTGTGCGGCAGGGACATGTGGACTGCCTGAAGGTCTTGCTGAATCGAGGAGCCAACCGAGACCTTCGAGATTCTATGGGTCGAGATCCTTTGCATTGGGCCTGCTTCTGGGGTCAAACAGAAGCCGCCTCCTTCCTCATCGAGAAGGGAGCCAACTTCGGGGAGGAGAACCGTGATACCGGCAGTGGGGCGGGGCCCTTACACTGGGCGGCCTGGAGGGGCCACCGGAAATTGGTGGCCTTTCTGATTGAGCAAAAGGCCGATCCAAATGGACGCTCCTTGCAGCGGAACACCCCCCTGCACTTCGCGGCAGAGTCCGGGCATTTGGAGATGGTGAAGGATCTCTTGGCGTTCGGCTCCGACCCCGATGCCCTCACCGACATGGGTGAGACGCCCCTGACCTTGGCTCGAGCACGCATCGAGAAGGGACACTCGGCACCAAACCTGGCACAACCGACGTGCGGAAATCACACAGAGGTCGCCATCTTCCTGGAAGGCATCCAGACGGATCGAGAAAGCATCGTCATCTCACCTGACCAGGTAGCCTTGAAGATGTAAGCTGGGACGTGGAGTGGTGATAAAGATGCATGACATATACTGTATATACCATATACATCCATATACCGTTGTGTACCAATGGAGAACCCATACTTAAGATGTATTCGGTTATTGGGATGTATAGTGGAGCTCCAGCACTGTGGATGGAGACAGGGTTCTAGCTAGCCAGTTTCAAATCACATCAGCCTTGGCGTTTGAAAAGTTGCGGCCTAGATTGCACATCATGGCAGTTGATGGCACAATGGCCAGCAGTTGTTTTTGAGATCATCCAACAACTCCTGCCACACATGTTTGTCTGAAGAATCACAACATATAGATGGCATTTTGCTATTGGTTGGTTGATTTATAAAGGGGACACAAGTTTGGTCATATAGTACCTGGCATCGACCCCTCTATGATGCCCGATGAGAACAGATCCACTGCTCCAAGCCCTGTAGGCCTTTGGCGGGATGAGCTGATGTCTAAGGCCGCCGCCTTGGTGCCGGAAGAAGTGCAGGCCAAAGGGATCGCTGAATCAATTTTGCCGCATCCCTTTGGGGCGACTTGTTACGTCAGGTGTTGGGTGAGGGAAATGCAAGAGATTACTGTATGGCGAGTAGGCAGAAGCGGCGGGCAGCCTCTTTTTGTTGGAGGGTACGATGTGCCATACAAACGGTGGCATTTCCATGTTCAAGAGATTCGGCGATGAATCCGCAGGCTGCACGCCTTCTTTTGGAGAAGATGCGCCGCCGGCCACGATCCGGCAAAGCAGCTCGTTCAGAGGCACAGGGCTGTGCAGGAGGGGCAATTCGTGAGAGGAATGAGGTACAAAGCAGATCGCAGGGAAAATCGGTCGAGGCTCATCCTCCGCACCCATCATGGTTGCCAACCTCCTTGTTGAGACTAGGCTTGTAGCTTGTGGATTCCATTCAACATCACATCTGTCCAGGAGTCCTTTTCCCTTCCATATGAATGGGTGAGCATAGCCAGGTCTTCCAAATCCTGGGAGGAAGTAAGATGCTACAGACAACTGTTCCAGCTTCATCGCATGGGAAGATCGTACCCATGACACGTTCAGAGGATTAGAAAAGGTACAGTTTCACAAACCTAGTTCATCCTGTTTTTGGGCGGAGAGATGCGGGGCCATCGCTATGAATTAGATTGGAGGCCATCGCTATTAGGCAGATTCGATGTGGCTTCCAAGCGACTCATCTCCTGTTCGGAGGAAGCAGAGTCGCCCAGTCGACCCCAGACCATTCCAGAGATCTGGGGCTGAGAGGGGGGCTCCTGATTCGCGCCTTGCAGAGTCGCATCCAGGCACCCAGTGCCAGACCGGAGGTGCGTCTTTCAGTTTTAGGTGGTATATCAAAGAGTCACGCTGAATTGTCCTGATCACACCATGATTTGAGACAGATGGCCCCATCTCCAGAGAGGTTTCAAGCAGTTCTCAATCATCCACATAGCACCTCGGAGTGCAAATCATAAGTTGTTTTCACTCAGACATGATCAAACCAGGCGTTATGCGTTGAATCTGCTGCTCCGACATGTTAGGTTTCATAGATGCACATACCTGTAGCTGTTCAACCCACAATGGGTTTCCAGAAGGGGAGAATGATGGTGGTTCAATGCCAGACCTGGATGAATCATACCCTCCTGCTAGGAGGTGAATCATGTCACATGTCACTTTTTGAAGGAACTACAAGCTAAGTTCCTTTGAGATAAAGAGGACATGAAGAAAAGACGAGATGAACAGGACTATAGAGATGAAGGCCCCTTTAAGGCCAACCACATAGAGATGAAGGCCCTGTTGTGCGTTGGAACCGGTCAGCACATACTTGACAAAAAGTCGAGACAACCAGCACTCCAAGAGACAACCAGCCACCGTTTGGGCTGGATGTTTATTCAACCCTCCAACATTTTTTTCAGCCCTAACCTTTTTTTTTCAACCCTCCAAGACGCTTTTTCAACCCTGGGTTGGAACAAAATGTAACCCCTACTAAATCAACCCATGGTCCTTATATTCCAACCTTTTTTTTCACCCTGGAAACATGCCTTTTTCACCCTGGAAACATGTTTTTTCCACCCTTGAACCTTTTTTTCCAACCCATAAACATGCTATTTCAACCCTATGACACGCTATTCTAACCCTGGGTCGCACCGTGGGGGGCTGGCCTTTCAGTCCTAGGATGTAGACGCCTTCGTCGGAAGCTCGAATGATTCGGCCGCCCTATTCTGCTATCGCTGCTGGTCCTTCTCCACCGTTTTCCTTTTGCTTTGGCCTTGCTGGCTGGCTGCTGCCAACCTCCACCTGCAGCTTCCGCTGCTGCCGCTGGTGCTGCTGCTTACTGCTTTGCTGTGCTGCAGCCGCTGCTGCTACCGCTGCTGCCGCCGCCGCTGTTGCCGCTGTTTGTGCCGGCGCTTCCTTTTTGCTTAGCTGTTGCTGCTCTGCTGGTTTGGATGCGTGCTCGTGCTCAGAAAGAGGTGGCAGCGCACACAACATCGCCGCTCCGGGCAACATGTTCCCAGAACAAATATGCTTGGTGCACTTTTTAAAGATTGTCAAATGGTCACAACAGACCGAGCCCTCTGAAATCCCGAATATCATGGCTACTATGCACGCCCTCCTACACCCAGGCCCCCCTATTGAAACCTATGTTCAGACATTAGTAAGGCCTAAGCAGGCTTCAAACCTCAGTTTCTACTCGGTAAGCGCTCAACACAGCATGGAACTCTTACCGGGATGTTGTTTTCCTTCAGTGAGGTTTTGGTCTTGTTTCGGTCCTTTGCTAAGACCTCGGTCTTGTTTTCTTGTTAAGACCTCGATAGGCCAGCGTACATGAACATGTCGTGAAACTGTGCTTGTCTGGCAGTGGCTGCTGGCCCTGGGTAGCCACAGTAAACATACAAGCAAACAAGTTCGTCCAGACAGTGCAGTGCATAGTTCACACCTTGGAACATTAGACTCTATATATAGAGTTTTCTTCTGTCAGCCCTAGCCAGTTCTCCTTTTCTTTGAACTGACGCACTAGCGGCAGCCGGTGCAGACTGGCCCGGTCCCCCAGCAATCGTCGTAAGAGGCCTGAAAGCCTGAGAGGTTTGTCCTTTTTATTCTTCCCATCCCAACAATGCATGCGCCAAAGGGCCTGCGCCACAACATCGCATGGTCCATGTTCCATGTTCCATGTGGGTCTCTTCCAGAGCATACAGCCCACGGGGGCACCACGGCAGCGCCACGAAAGTCTCTTCCTGGGACGTACGAACTTCCACCTGGCGCACTTGACTGACTCGCCGGACAGAGCTGGACCCAACGGACAGAGGTGGTCGTCCAGTCGCACGGACGAGTCCGGTCGCGTGTTTTGTTTGTAAGCCATGGATTATGTGTATACTATGGTCCCACTATAATTACGTATATACAGCACTCTTATAGTGGGTTTCTTTGCGTACAATATAAACCATTTGAGGGGTCTTTCTTGGGTCGCGTTTTCACAGGGGGGATTGCCAGACGACTTGTTTGATTGCCGTGAGCCATGAGCACTTCATGAAGATGCACGACTCCGACGCATTCCAATGGTTTGAGCTGTTTTGGGCCATGGGATTCGTTCATCTCCACTGCTTCTTGGACCCATTGTTATATTTCTCTCACTGGCCTTCTGACACCCTGTCCAGTCTTGCCAGGCATTGGCTGCTCTGATCCGCGCGTCGGTTTCCGCGCACCTTGCGCAAGAAATGGCGCAAGGGAGCCTGCGCACTTATGCCGATTGGCGCTGAGGTTCAAGGGGTGCATCTGTAGTGCTTTGGCGAACCAAGTGCCTGGTGATCGAATCTTTGAAGACCGATGACTTCAAGCCACAGATGAACCAGAGAGCGTTGTACCAAGCGATACGCTCGGCTCTGCGACCCACTAAATATTGCAGGTCGTTGGTGGCCCTGCCAGTGATGGTGCCCGAATCATTTGGGATCTCTGCAGATCCGGGTGAACTCTCTTTTTTCCAAACAAAAGATCACGGGAGCTCCACCTGAAGACCTTTGCGTGTGTTGTTCAATTCAGGTTCTCTTCAATGGTCCCCTTGGTTTCACCAGCGACCATAGGAAACATCATCACGATTGGCTTGTGGAGTGGGCCGGCGTCAGCGTCTCACCCATGCGACTTCTCCTGCGCACATGGAAGAGAAATCTGGACCAAATTGAATTGGTGCAAGCCGATGAATGAAGCTCGAAGAGATCTGGCAGCCACCGCTGCAGCCGACAGCTAGAAAACCAGCAGCCGACACGAACCGCAACAAACCAGAGCACCACACATGACGCGACAAACCAGAGCAACAAAGTGAGAACAAAGGGCATCGCTACTAGGAGCAAAGACCAAAGAAGCTTTCTAGGTCAAATCGACCGTGGGCCCAAATGGACGGGGTTGAAAAAGAAGGGTCCAGGGTCGAAAAAGCATGCACAAGGGTCAAAAAAGAATGTGACAGGGTCAAAAACAATGTTTGAGGGTGAAAAAGAAATGTTGCAGGGTTGAAAAAAAAGGTTAGGGTGGAAAAAAAATGTTTGAAAAAAATGTTGCCCCCGTTTCAGCTGTTCACTCCGCAAACCGATTGAAAGAGACTCCCACCCCAATGTGCCTCCGATCCGATCCGATCAGGTGCAGGAAGAGCGCCTTCGGCTCAAGGAGGTGGTCGAAGAAGTCTTATGGGTGGCCCTCCTGCAGGCAGCCTTTCCCGACCCCCAAATGATGTCCACAGCAGCGTAGACAGGACGTGTCGGATGTGTCGTGGATGAAATACACATGCATACTGCATACATTATACGTTTACATTACCATAGAACACCAGGAAGAAGCAGGTGGTGGTCAGGAAGCACCAAGTTTGTGTGTTTGTGTGTGTGGAAGATTATTGGGTGCAATTTGGAGAGCTACTTCCTGGGAGGTCCGCAGCTGTCCAAAGCAAGGTGCGCATTCTGTGGGTTTTGAGGGGTTCAACAGATGGCAGGAAACACAAACACTTTTTGATAAGCTTCCCAGCTTTCCAGCCAGGACAACTCAGACGTAATGGAAACTAGTTGGATGTTCACTTGCTTGTTCAAGTACACACCATTGCTTCACTGTGTCCGGGCACTACAGTTTCACCTGTGGACCTGCCATGATTATCAATAATATGTTGGAACGTTTTAGAAGTTCATTCTTCTCTTTAAAAAAAGAATTAATTTGTTTTGCTCGTGTTTTGAGTTTAAAGATACTGGGCCTTGGCTCACGGTACATCACGATATCATTTCCAGGCGGCCTGCAGGAGCTTTGCGATGTCGTGGTATTCGATGTCACTGCCGCAAGTCGATGGCACTGCCGACTTGCAAGCCAAGATCTGTCAAACTTTGAAGTTTTATACTCTAAATCTCTTGGCACAAAGCCCGAGTCGTTGGACAACTGAAACAAACAATGTCATGTGCCTGGTTTTTCAAGGATCCGGAGTAAAACAAGGCAACAGGCGAAGTTAGACTGACTTACATATGTAGACTGCATATTGATTGCATATTGTAGTATTTTTAGATACTCTATATTATATTCATATATTTATATATAGAGTATACCTATAGATTGTTGATGTTCCTAAAAAAGGTAGGATGTCCCTGTGTTATGTGTGTTTGTCACCTAGTTGTACAATGTTGTACATGTTCTGTTTGGATTCCTGCTTGCAATGCGTCTTTGCGCTCAGTTTCTTAACCATGTCATTCGTTCGCCCTGAGTCATGTTTCTGAGAAGGAGAGGTTGGGAAGCTTGTTGATCTCGACTATTGGACCTGCCTTGCGGCCTGTTGCAGCCTCAGCCAGTGATTGGCCTGCCGGTCCGACCAGCCTCTCGGTCCAGCCTCTCTCGGTGTCCGGTCCTTCAGGTGGCCCGCCGGTTGCTGGCTCCTGGTCAGGTGCTCCCACGGCGCCTACGGGCCGAGTGCGGGGTCACGGCCGACGAGACGGTCTGGGGCGGCTGTTCGTCCCATGGATCACGAGTGAGTCCATTTCAAGGGTGTGCAGTCTGCAGGTCTGTGGGCCCAGAGCCAATTTCAATGCACACCACCATTTGTTCCTAGTATTGAGGGGTTCTGATAAAGAATATAAAGGATTAGCTGAAGAAGGTTGAGGCTTGGTCAGTCCTCGAAGTGAAAGATGAGAGAGAAATCTATGACGGTGCGTCCAGTAAAAAGAACACTAGTGGAAGAAACCCTTCAGTGATGCTGCAACCAACAGACCAGAACCAGACGACCAATCAGGCTGATTTGTGCATCGGATGTTTTAAGGAAATGCAAGTGAAGTCTAATCTAATCATTAGCATTACCAGCATTTTGTAAGTGTGATTGATTTATTTTTCTGGCCGAATCATAAACAATGAGACAATTCCGCAAATGGCAATTCACTAAGCCATCTTCGGCATCCCCTTCCAAAAAGTTTATCACCTATGCAGGAAGCTATTGACTATCGGCGCGTTCCTTCCGATCAGTCCTCCCAGGTTTCCAAAGCTCGCTCGACATCTCTGCTTCCGCGACTCGGAGGTGGGAAGCATCTCGACTCGGTGACCTCGACCTTTGGGCGGTGACCTTTGGGCGGCTGGGTCGCTGTTTGGTGTGGAAACGGGCTCGTGTCCAAGGTGTCTGAAACACAAGGGCCCTTGTGAGAGGCTATAATCTTGCGATGGCCTCCAACCTAAGAGCGATGGCCTCCACCCTAGTAGCGATGGCCTCCAACCTACTAGCGATGGCGTCCAACCTAACAGCGATGGCCTCCAAGCTACTAGCGATGGCGTCCAACCTAAGAGCGATGGCCTCCAACTTAAGAGCGATGGCCTCCACCCAAGTAGCGATGGCCTCCAACCTACTAGCGATGGCCTCCAACCTACTAGCGATGGCCTCCAACCTAAGAGCGATGGCCTCCAACCCAAGAGCGATGGCCTCCAACCTAAATGGCTATAATGATACAATATAATACAATATATATAGTATTCTTTTGTACATCTAATAATATATATATATACTATGGTCATTGGACCTACTTTTACTTTTGCGCCAAAATGTTGCAAGCATGCGCGTGACCTGAATACTTGCAGCTCCGGCGCGACGATATCCGTCCGGTGTCCATGGTTAATTCGTGTCCTCGGGCTATTACAACTAGAGCCAAAATGTTACAAGCATGCACATGACCTGAATACTTGCAGCTTCGGCGCGACGATATCCGTCCGGTGTCCATGGTTAATTCGTGTCCTCGGGCTATTACAACTAGAGCCAAAATGTTGCAAGCATGCACATGACCTGAATACTTGCAGCTTCGGCGCGACGATATCCGTCCGGTGTCCATGGTTAAGTCGTGTCCTCGCTGCCATTGCACGCAGCCGGACGCGGCAGAGTTCTCTGACGCGCTCCCCCGCCATCGGCTGGGGTCGGCGGATATATCCTATGGTCATTGGACCTACTTTTACTTTTGCGCGGACTTCAATTTCTGCTGGGTGGCTGACTCATTTGTTTCCTTGTTCTTCCGTCTATTTGGTTTAAGTTTCTCTTTCTGAGACTGTTCACAAGGTTGCTATGCTGTTGGTCTTGATCAATTGGATACCATTGGCATGCTTCTATTCTATTTCTTCTAAAGTACGCTATCCCTTTGGAAGTTGTGAGTCAGCATGCAAACGTGCCACACACACACACTCGCCAAGCTGTGATATTGCTCTAAGTATAGGTTCATTGTTTACTTTGCAATACTTTGCAAGTGCACTCAGCTGCCACCCCAGGGACACGAATGCACAATAATCAGCTTGAATAATCAATTTGACCAGATGGCTGCTGCTGCTGCGTGTGTGTGTGTGTGTGTGTGCAACCCTTGGAGTCACAGGGATCCTTTTGGATTTGTAGTTTTGAAAGATGAGCAGGGGGCTGGAGTGTGCTTCAGATGTCTCCAGCCAACGAAGAGCATCTGTTGCACTGGGACGCCAGAACTACGTACATGCTTCTTCTTGATCTTTTTGAACTTTTGAACAAGCTGTGACCCCACTCTCCAGTAGGGCTAATGAGTTCTGCAGACTTGAGTCAGCTTGTCGCTTCGTGGTCGTCGATTAAGCTTACCTGGACCCTTAGGCGGTCATACACAGGTTGCCGTGTGGCGAGTGGCATTCAATTCAGTGCGCATATCCATAAGTGTGTGTCTTGTAAGTGAGAGCCCAGGTCAGCCCAGGAGCGCCGAACGGTTTTTTTCCATGTTCCCCCTGCCCGGCCCCACAGCGGGCGGAGTAGGCTTGCGCCAAAGTCAGTCGCCAAGACTTGACGGATGATTGAAAACGAGTAGGCTATATGCCAGCATGTGACCGCAGCGGTCCAAGCAGGCTTAACGCCGCAAAGTGGTCGCAGCGACCGAAGCCTTTCTTAGGTTCATTGGAACCCCACACGTTTTGCGCGCGAAAGCTTCCTCCATTCGGTCTTCCGCTTCTTCTCCCCCTCTGGATCGGCCTCCTTGTCCAGAAGATTGAGTTTCTCCTCATGTTGAGCCACCTTCTCAATCTTGTTCCTCCCGGGGGCGTGATGTCCAAGGTCTTCAGGCTTCTCAAGCGAAGTTGATTCCCCATCTCTCTGCTCTAGATCCTCCGCTGCGTCCTCCATGGAAAGCGTATCCCAGCTGGTTCTCCAAGTCCAGCTGTACTCCTTGAAGGGTCCTCCTCGAGAACTTTATGGTGTACTTGTGTGCCTGGCTCATCGGGAGCCATAGCGGTTGGTGTTGCCCTGAACATAGACATCCTCCCAGCACAGTGGCTATACCGGGTGAGTCCGTGGAGATGCGCCGTAGGTGCACACACAGCGCGTACTCTCCAAACCAGGCAGGTCTTCCTAGGTCTTTCAAGTGAGGTTTGGTTTCATCGGTTCCTGGCCCCTCCATTTGGTTCCCCTTTTCATCCTTCCCTCTCACACACACATCTTTTTTCCTCTTTTCTTTCATGTCCTCCTGCCTTCATCTCACCCCTTCTTTCTTTTGCGCGCACATTGGTCCAGCCCTTAGTTTGTACGTGCGCATTCACACCTACGTCAACCCTAGGCTTCAGGTTGCCCAGGTTTGACAATGAGGTGGCTTTTCATTGTTTGTCCCTGTGCACTTGGTTCCTTTTCATCACAACCACATACACCTTTGTCCTGTCTTGTCCCCTTTTCAGTTCTTCATCTTCTTGTCCTCGCTGCGTGCACACATGCACAATTGTCCTGGCCTTAGCTTTTGTCGTCTCCCCTTGTGGGAGGCATGTGTGTGTAACCCTTCAAGTCAGAGGGATCCTTTTGGATTTGTAGTTTTGAAAGATGATCCAGATGTCTCCAGCCAACGAAGACGCTCTGTTGCACTCTGATATAGTTCTGGGACGCCAGAACTACGTACCTGCTTCTTCTTGATCTTTTTGAACTTTTGAACAAGCTGTGACCCCACTCTCCAGTAGAGGGCTAATGAGTTCTGCAGACTTGAGTCAGCTTGTCGCTTCGTGGTCGTCGATTAAGCTTACCTGGACCCTTAGGCGGTCATACCCAGGTTGCCGTGTGGCGAGTGGCATTCAATTCAGTGCGCATATCCATAAGTGTGTGTAAGCCGTAATAACGAAGAAACATTTATGAGTTGATTGGTTTTGAGTCACCAACAAAGCTTTTATGTTGCTAGTTGCTTTATATTTCAACCACGGAGGCCCAGGAACTCCTGTTTGTTGTCCTGGTCAACGAAGACCAGACAGCATGAGGTTGAAAACATACCTGTCCAATCGGCAGTGGCAGCTGTGCTCAGAATCCTAACAGGGTTTTCTCCTCTCAACGACGGTGTCGCTCACTAGACTTCCTTGCGTCACCTACTTTGTTAGGCTGTGGACTCAGGAGTTTCTCGGTTGCTACAACGAGCACTGGTCCTCACGCATTTTGTTTGCAGAGTCAACTCTATATTTGTGCAGCGGCCACGCTGTCCACGAAACTAATGCATCAGAAAGGAAAGCATTGAAACATGTGTCACCAGTCTTGGGTCTCTTGCAGTATATTACCTTCCACGGGATTGAGTTTCCACTTTAGCTGGTAACCAATGGTTCCAGAGACTAGAACCATAGACCTAGGAACCGTGGTTCCTTTTGTACTGTGCGATTTGGATTTCTTCGAAAATTTGTCAACGTCACTTCATACAACAGGCTGTTTCAGGTGGCAAGTTGGACGCTGTTGCATTGACTCTGAGCTCAACATGAGTCTGAGGAACGAACAAGTGATACAATGTCAAGATCAATACGGTACATGAGTGGTGAACCGTGAACTTTGAGTACTGGGTTGACGAGTGTGTAACCGTATGTGTGTGCCCCTTGTAATCACAGGGATTCCGTTGAATTGTTTCTTCTCTTTTTCAGCAGGGGGTGCCAGGGATGCACACTGGACTGGCACCAACGAAGACGCCAGTGTTGCATCTGTGAAATCAATCCGGGACGCCGGATTGACGTACCTGCTGGGCGAGAAACCTACGTAGAGCACAAACTGTCTACTTCGTTGTTTCCTTCAGTAAAGGGCTAATGCGCGGTGATGAACTTGGTTTTTCTGCACGCACGTCGTCACCTTGTCGTCCGCTCGCTCGGTGGTTTCTTCTGGAGTTGCTGGCCACCTGAAACTTGCTGGACCTCCACTGGCTGGACCTCCACTTCCTTTTAGGTTTCCTTGCCTGTACCCTTAGGAAGTGGTAACCTAGGCCGGCGTGTGGCACCGCTGTCAAGTCAGTACGCATATCCATAAGTGTGTGTGTGTGTGCGCGTGCCATTTCAATGTGTGGCAAGCTGACCAAGCATGTCTTAAGAAGGTGTTGCTGTAGCGGGTAGCTAGGAACTCCGGCCCGGCATCACTGAACTCGCAGAGGGGTGAAAACCATGAGAACGCATCATGCCATATCTTGTTTATGGCTTATGACACCGTTCGATTGGGTTGATGGTTAATGGATGCTTATGGTTCGCTCCAACCCAAGGCCATTCTGAGTGTGGCTCGAGACTATCAAAGACTGAGACTTTGTTTGTGCTCGCTGATTTGGCGTCAGGACATGGAGGTCCCCGTGTCCTCTTGGCAAGATGAGGCGACTTTTGGGGTCAGATGTTCCTTCCAGTACAGTAGAAAGCCTCAGGGTTTCTCACCGGCCTTTTCGGTGAGATCTTGGATGATCTTGGGTCTTGGGCTTGTGTTTACAATGCCTTTTGATGACTTGGCAGCTTTAGAAGTTACACCACAGCAGAGGAAGAAGGCTCAATGAAATACCTTTTGTATCCTTTTGTGATGAGAACTGCTCCTCTTCGAATCCTGTGAAAGGACCTGGCAATGCATCTCCGCTATGCAAGGGAGTGCCGTGACACCATGCTAGCGATGGACCTGACCAAGGACTGGACGGGCAGCCAGTGAGATGGACAACAAAAACGGTTTATTGGACTGGAAGGGTCGATTATGATTCGAGGGCATGAAATCAATTGCTCATGTTGCTGGGGGCGTCCCTTGTTTGAAGTCGTTGGAGTGGGAAGTTTTGCCAGGGGAATGGACATTGGACACTGATGAACAAACTCACCACTTGAGCCGGGTGCTGTTGCAGTTGCAACTACTATGCTCACTCTGGCCATGTGGTGAAAAGGGATGACCGGGGAGGTTTGCCTCAGCCGCTTGGGCAGGATGCCGTTGCCAGGCTGGTTGAAGGAAATCGGGAGTTTGGACTCCAGCCAGCAGAAGGGTGAGCCAATTCAAGTGTTTCATGACAAACAGAAATGTCGACACCAGCCGCACATATCAGCGAGAGCATTATAAAACATGTTTTATCCAAATACTGTTTAGACCCAGCGAGACTTGCAAGAATCAGATCAGGCTTGCTCATCCAACTTTCCCATGCTAACATGAGAAGGGTTGTTGGTGATGAAACATGTTGAAACCAATTGAAGCCAACCTTGGCTGTAGAGCTCAGAAATTGCTGAGGGTCACAAGAGCCTGGTACTTTATGTTTAATTCATGTTTGGACTTGTACAAAGCTTTGCATGAAAACGTCCATGGCTGCAAGGGTGTCTCGTTGCTTGGGCCGCTTCTTGCATAGGCTCAGTTGAATTGAGGAGATTTTTCAACATGGCCCGGCTGCTCCGAGGTGATACCCCCGCGGCTGCAATAAGAAGACTCTACATAAATGGTCATAGGTGGAAAGCACCTCATGACATCCGCCCTAAAGGGGCGTCGTTCTTGAATCTCCCTTTGCTCATGCATGATGAGAGAAAGAGAGCAGTCTCAATGCAAGACATCAGCGCTGCGGCCTCCTGCCTGACATGCTCGCGTCGTATTGCAACAGCAGCGCCTCCTTGAACCCCTCGGGGCCAGCCTCCTAGGCACACCATTCGTGTGGTCCATCCCGTGGGAAAAGTGGCTTTTCCCCTATGCATGTTTGCACATATTGCAGTCCAATCTGTGCCTGCTTGTTCCAGTCCAATCCAATGTGACTCATTGCAGATGTGTATGCAACAAAAGATTATATATATAGTATAAAGATGTTTTGAGTAGTCTTGTTCAATGAGCCCGGATGAAGAACGGGAGCAAGTCTGCTGAGTAGGAGGTGTTTTGGGGGCTCTTTGCCAGAACGAGGATGATGCGGGCATGAGTCAAAACTCGAGCCCTGGTCCACCATGTAGGTTGACCTCCCAGCTAGTCTAGTCTGTTCATTTGGGGTGGTCAACCAGGGTCGCCCTATCAGCCAGTGATGTCTCCCTTCGGCCCTGAATTCGTTCCTGCAGGCCGCCTTCAGTCCTCTCCGCCATCAGCACAAGAGTCTCGGCCAAATGTATGACCAACATCGTGGCCATACACGTAGAATGTTCTATGTCATGTAAATCTAAAGTCAAGTCAGTTAAATTCAGAATGTTTGGTTCGAAACTTGGACTCCTTCCAAATTCCGCGAACAAATGAACACACATGCACGCAGATTGAGACATTTGCAGTACGAAGCTGTATGAGCTCTGCAGAACTTTGACAGAGTTTCTCCTGGACACCTCAAGAAGTTGCGATGGAAAAGGTACCGTTTTCCACTCTTTGCACAGCATGAATAAGCGAGGAGTTTACATATCGTTTTCATGTGGCTCATATGTCACTGATTGAGAATCGCTGAACGGTTCAGGAATCGGTCGACATTGGGAGTCCACTGAGTCTACGAAAGGTCATTCACCAATGGTCGAGATGTTATCTCGGGCATGTTTGATGGAGATGTTGTTTGGGCATCTTTGGCCAACTCTTGACAGAGTGCTCAAGAAAGTACTGGGCCATTTGTGTACCACAGAGTCAGAGTACATGCCGCAACTCTAAATTAAAACCACCGGCTGATGGGCTCCTTTCTTACGTCATCCCGGGTCAGCTTCTAATCATCGTGTTTGCTGGCCTTTCTTTTTTTAGATTACAATCGATCCTCATCCCAGCTGTTTCTTTGAGGCTTTGTTCCTTCTTTACCTCCGAGGACTGCCTCCCTTCCGGGGGAGGACGGTAGTAATGCTCACCTGAACCGTGAACAGAGTGGATTTGGTTCACTGGGTGATGACACGAGCAGAGAGTTCAGAGAACAACACATATTGTTTTTGTACTCAGGTTTAGGGTTTTGAGCCGTGCAGCACAATAACATAAAACATGACAAAGGTCCAGTCTCAGGAAGTACAAAGACACTACTGGAGTTCCTAAACTTTCGCACAGCTGTGCATCCTAGTTTATGGCTACGGCGCCGTTAGTGGCTGTGAGTTTTTTGCTACTTTTACTACACTTTTTGCTCGTTTTTGTCAACTTCCGGTTACCAGGTTGCGTTTAGGGGTGGCTTGCGGGGTTTCAGTGAGGTTTCCATTTTTGGGGGGGTTTTGGGTTACGAGGTTGCGTTGGGTGGCTTGCCGGGTTCCAGTGAGGTTCCCCTGTTTTTTTGGGGGGGGTTGGGTTACGAGGTTGCGTTTAGGGCTTAGGGGTGGTTTGCGGGGTTTCAGTGAGGTTCGGAGGGTGTCGCCGTCTGCTTCGCTCTTCGCTCGCAGTCTTCGCTTCGTTCGCGTGGGACCTGGCGCATGCGTGTACCATTCTCAGATCCTCAAGCTTACCGAACCGACCGTTTCCACTCCGCCATGCTGACGGCTGTGGAGTTCTTTGAGTTCTTCTTGCTGCTGCTGGCTTTGCGTCAGCTACAAGTTGTACCGTGGGATTACTTGCTCAATGAGTTGGTGTTCTTGCGTCAACTGACTCCGCTGCTGGTGATGAGTCGGCTTGAGTTGTACGAGACGTGCATGGTGTTTTCCCCTTGACTCTATGACCCGGTCGTGGCTTCGACTCTACTTCTCACAGAGGGCCATCAACTAAAGTCCTAATTGTAAGGGCTTCGCCCGGGTGCCGCCGACCCCCTTTCAGGAGGAGTGTAGCACGTGTAACTAAAGGCGTTTGTGTAGTTCCGGTGGCGGCCCGTCTGTAGCTGCAGTGCACAGGCTGCACGTTCCAGAGGCTCCCTCCCCAGGCTCCCGCCTGACGCAGGCAAGGCTGCGATGCAGGAGTAGGCCAAAGGCGCTGGGAAGGGTTTGAAGCCGGGCCAAAATGCCTAACGTTGCTTTCGGAAGCCCATAAGAACAGAAGAGGCAGGCCTGGAACAGGCGAAGAGAAGAGGCAGGCCTGCCAGCTGCCGAGAACGGTTTGGGGGCGGTCCAAAATGCCTAACGTTGCTGGCCTGCCAGCTGCCGAGAAGGGTTTGGGGGCGGTCCACAATGCCTAACGTTGCTTTCGGAAGCCCATAAGAAGAGAAGAGGCAGGCCTGAGACAGGCCAAGAGAAGAGGCAGGCTTGCCAGCTG